AGATAATGATTATGTCTGTTAGATTGAAAACGGAAACAATAATAATATATAATTCAAACTTTCCAGAAAGTACAAAGCATTTTATTTTATCTTATTTTACTTATTTATTTATTAATTTATTTTTCGTCTGTTGCTCTGAAAACTATTTTTCAGGATATTAAACATTTCTGTCTACACGTAAAATTTCAAAAGTCGAATGAAACAATACAATGACCACTCTACCCTGGAATCAATGTTAAGTATAGTTATAAGTCAATTATTTCGGCATGTTAACGTCTCTTGCCTTATTCGAAATTTTTGGAAAATATATTTTTCATTCATCGATCCAAAATCTATTCAAGATACATTTTAGTACATACTTACTGACGTATTTCAATAGAATTTATATTTTACCCTTTATTTTGTTTTATTAATTTGGTTAAATAACTCAAGTTGTATGATTAAATGTATGAATAGTAAGTAAGATGACAAACGGGACTTTTCACTACTTTTCCTCATTTTTCCTGCCGCCCTTAACAAAATAAAGGAATAAGTTTAATTTCTAACGATTAATTGTTTCTCAACTGCTTCAAGCAATTAAATGTTACGCTCAAACAGATTTCAATTCCGGGGTTACTTTAATAATTGTCACGTTTCAATTGAGCATAAAAGTAACAGTAACATTCTTGTTTTTTTTTACAGTAAAACAGAAGAACAATTTCCATTTATAATTTCGAAAGAATGTATTTCATAAACTATTTACTAAACATATTAATTGCATTGATAAAATAACTTGCTACCCTAAAATCTCTTAAAATCTCTCATATTATCATTGAAGAATTTCTAATGCTAAAAAAAGAAAAACATTTTTAGATGATGGTTCTAAAAATTGCACGGTTATAATCTTTTTACAATTTTCTATTTTTAGTATTTGTTGTTTAACAAAATAAGGCATATCAATTATTTTCCTTCTATAGCAATATATTTTTGAATTGTGCTAAAGTTGAGAAAGAATATTAACAACTTTTCAAGCAAATTTTAGCAACATTATCCTTTTTGAAAGGGTAACTATCGTAAAGTTTGAGCATAAGAATAACTTTGAACGTCGAAATAAAATTGTGTGTCCATAATTTTTTGTTCATTTAAAAAACAAAGCAAACTGTTGTATTTTTTGCTGCGCACATATACGCATTTATCTTTCATTTCTCAAATAAATAAGAAACAATAAAAAAAAGACATACAATAATTTATCTTTATTTTTTAAAAAAATAATATGCTTAGTAAATAGTAAATTGTTATGCATCGAATAATTTTGATCACCAGAAAATTTTTAATTTCTCAAAAAGATTTAATTCTCAGCTAGCTATAAGATAAGCTGTAAGATTGAGAAAGTTTCAATTAAATAGTTGGTAAAATAATTCGACGAAACACACACGATCAGGCAATTAACAAATTTATTTTAAGATTGAGATTTATTTTAAGATGTTGAGAAATTTTAAGATGCTTAAAATTTTGACTACGCAATTGCATTAATAATTATAAAATATACATTGAAGATACATTGATATACTTGAATATACATTGAAACATACATTGAAGAAATTGATAAGCATATTATTCCAAATCAATGCATACTTTGAACTATATTAAAATTGTATCAATTATTGAAAGAACAAACTAAAAAATAAACTTAAAAAATGTTGATGTTTAATCACATTCTATTTTAAACATGCTTTCGTAAAACACAACATTTGTTGAATAAAGTGTTATTCAATGAAATGTTTCATTCTAATCGCTTTATTAACTTACGAGTAAATGTTCACACGACTAAAGAGAAACTTCGTATTTTATAATTTGAAAAAAGGATTACACAAGTCTGTGAAATTGAAGTTTTTGAAAGATACAAGAGAAGTTTTTGTTGGTTTATATGCTATTTGATGTGCTGATTTCGAAAAAGACCTTCATTTTCCCCAATCACGTTAGGATTTTTTGTAAAATCGATATTAATGTTTTTACTAAAATCCTATTTGGAAAGGAATTCTCTCAAACTATTTTGTATGTACTATCTGGTAATTGTCGTCTTCATTCAGTTTGATCTATGCAAAATTTAATCTTGTGAAAGTAAATTGATTTTTGAGTGATCGGCTAATTTTTTATTGGTAAAATAAATAAAAATACTTTTGCCAGATTGAACAAGTCACGTCTGGTCGAGAGAAAAACAATAAGTTCCTTTTGTTTAAACTTTTTACATCAGTTTCTAAAAGAAAATCACAAACATATCATTTTGATTTATTTTTATAAACATAACTTGCGCAAAATAAACGATTGACCAAGAATAACAAATAATGTGTAGGTGAACATAAAAGTTTGAAACAAAAAACAAAACAAACAAAGGAAAGAAAAGTTTCTATTTAAGTACACTAAGTATATTAAGTCCTCTGAAATTTATTTTTGATGATCTTCCTTGATTATTTATTTGGGCTCCATATCTTTGATATCTTAAAGGAACCTTTCACCTTGTTCCTCGCTGACAGCTCCTCAATGTTTTTGGGGAAAGTCCACATGTGAGTGAAGGAAATGCATTTTTACACTCATGGAGCAACCCAAAGTTTTAAATTTGTCCTGCATTTTCATTACAATTTCTTCATAATCAGGATTTTTGTAGTTACCCAGAAATTTACTGACGACATCTTTGAAAGCTACCCAAGCTTCTTTTTCCGTGTTCCCGTCATGTTAATCTGAAAATCTTAATATTTCATGAGTTTGTGGATATCTGGAGAAACAAAGATTCCCCTTTTAACTTGACTTGAGATAAACCTGGAAACTTTTAGCGCAGGTATTTTAAACAGTCGCCATCTTTTGGAACAACCTTGACAAACAGCTTCATTACACCTAATTTTATATGTAGCGGAGGTAACAATACTTTCTTTGGATCAACTAAGCTGTTTCGAATACCGTTCCAGGTGGCTGGGTCAAGATTGTGTTTTTTCGGCCATTCTTTTTTGACCCACTGTTGAGTCTCGTCACGGCTGTCCGACTCACGAATGAAACATGGGAACTTTGTAAATCCACCTTGTTGACCTAGAAGCATGGAGATAACTTTCAAATCACCACAAATGGTCTAAACTGTGGTCTATAGATTTTATTTTGCCTAGGACGAGAGCCAGGTTTTCATAGCATTCTTTTAAATATACCGAGTGTCCAACTGGTACAGATACATACTGGCTCCCATGATGAAGAAGGACATCTTTGAGGCTTTTATTGGATGAATCTATAAACAGCCTACTCTCGTCTTAATCGTAGATGATATTAAATTTTCTCATCAATCTAGGAACATCAGAACAATAGACCAAGTTCTCCTCTTCATCAAAGTACTTAATAAATTCCTTTTTTAGATTCCTGTACCAATAAAAAGATGTTCCTATGGCCAATAACTATTTTTCCTTCAGTCTGAAGGCCAACAGTTCAACTGCCTTTTTCGAAAGGTCCAGATCTCTAGTCAGATCATTCAGTAGAACCTGAGAGAAGGACTGAGGCGAAGCGGCTATAGATGGCTTATATCCGAGATCGGAGCCTTGAACTTCAGGATATTCCGAGTTTGAAGACTCTGAAGAGATGACTGGCAATTCAGTTGGAGGCAAAGGTACAAGAACATCAGATCCATGAGGAACGGGGCGTATAGCTGATGAAATGTTATCAGGATACGATATTAGCCATTGATTTTTTCGATTATACTCACAAACATGGCAGGAATAAAAATAACAATCATCAAAGTGGTTTTTGGGCTCCCTCCACATCATAGGAACTCCGAATTGTAAAGCAGTCTTTGTTCCTTGGTGCCATACGCGTAGATCATTGAGACACTGCACACAAAATTTAAGAGGAGCCCACGATTTGTCCTGGTCTCCGAGTTTCATGCCCAAATATGCAAGAAAAAGTTATATTACATAGTTAATAATGCTCCTCAAGCGATTTTGAACAACACTATATTCGCCGAATATATGTAACAAAAGTCATCTAGGAAATATTCACAATGTCTCGAACTCACTATTACTCTTGCTAATGTTCCTGAGAGGTCAGCGAACCTAGATAAGAATTCTCGCGAAGCTATTGGTAGAGAGAGAGTGTGTCAGAGAGAGGGACGGTGATCGAAAGATGTCATAGAGAGGTATTTTTATAGATTTAACCAAAGTAGAATGCTGGTCAGGCAGGTCAGGCTGGTCAGGCGAAATTTTTTTAAATGGTAAATATTCATAATAAGGTCAGTAAAATTGAATTTTTCAGGAAAACGTGACGTGATAGAAATGTTTCATTATTGTTTTTCATTTCAGCTCCAAAAAATACATAAAGTTCAGCTATCTGATCCCTTGTACTTTTTTCATCGCAGGCCTGTGTTATCAATTGGTTATTAGCTAAGAAAAATGATAGTTTATTCAACGCAAGCGCAAGTTAAGTTCCTCCGAAGGTAACCACATCTAAATATTTATTCATTGTTACCAAATTATTTTTTTTAAAATAATTAATTTTTATTTTTCTCGGCTTCTACCAAATAAAAACTAAAACTTCAGATTTTACAATAGAAAAATACGTTGATTAATATGGTATGAAACATTATATCGCATAATTCAAATTTTTTCATCCACAAGTAAGTTCAATGATAAAAAATAATAAATAATTAGTAAAAAATATTTTTTGCATAAAATTAGATGGCGGTTACCCTCTATATTTAGAAGATTAAGAATTCAAATAAGTAAAAACAAAATACGCTTATGCAGAAGAAGTGCGTTTTTGAGTCCAATTTCGTAACTTAATTAATAGTTAGCACTACATATTTTACTTATTTAAGATCGCCATTAAGATTGTCACTTAGTACGTTAAATTCCGATCCGAAAGTTATTCAAGCGGATGTCATTTTTTATTTGTTGCTCACTGTACGTAATAGTTTTTTAATTTACTATTTGTTATTACTGTAAATTAGATGCAAAACAAAGTGTTTAAAATGTACACACATATATAAATACAGTTTACTCTCGCAAAGGACTGATCATTTAAATACGCTTCCTAGTAAGAAACCGAAATAAAGCATAACAGCCTATCGTCAGTGTGCGGGTGGGTAACCATCTTGATTAGCCTGTGAAGGAACTGACAATTCGTGGTACTGATCTTCGTTATGCGGTTTCACCGTAAAGTCAATTTCACGCGAAAGTCGTCTGGCTACCGAAGCGGGAATGCCATACCCTCGGAAAGGATGGAAATTGTGATGGCATCTCTTCGGTTCTTCCAAGGGGATGTTTCCATGACCACCAACATTAGTACATTGCTACTACATACCCCAGTGCTGCTATAACTACAAAGTATTTAGAAATTACTGTTTGTGTGTGCAAATAACTTTTTTTTAAAGATTTTTGAGATTATCAGCGATTTTTGCAAACTGCGGTTTGCTACATGATTCCGCAGAAAAAGTGTTGTTCGATCATCCATCTTCACATAGGGAATTAATTCCCAGTCAAATGACTTGGTAAATAAAGATTAAACCCACCAAACTGACTGGATTGCCTTTACTACATTATGCATACACCAGAGATCATAATCAAGTTTAGTCTTGAATAAGCAAATGAGTAAGCACTGGGAAGCATTCAATTCCGTTCATTGATTTTGTGCATCTGAAGAGGTATCCAATGGATTTTGCTTGTACAAAGATGTGCGTATAATTATGCATTTTGTGTGTGTACATGTACATACAAGCTCTTGTCAGTTAAAAGAACAGATTGAACAAGTTTGAGAAGGACAACACAAAGATACGGTTGTGTTTGAATCTTCTACCTCCAATCTTCATACCGTTTGGAGGAAAGATGAAGCCGATTGACCAATGATGCTTTTTGCAAACACATAAATATGCAGATTTATGTATTCAATTAAAATCATGGCTTATGAACCTTTGAAAAATTTAAAATCATACAACGCAAATTAGAGAAGAGCAATTCAAGGATGAAACCGGCAATCCACTACCTCCACATTTTAGAGTGTTAAATAAAATGGGAGGACAAATTGGGCCGGAATTCTGATGTGCAAAATTTTTAAATCAATTAAAATAGAGTTTTGTGCTTTTAACTTTTACCTATCTGACATCTTTTTTATGTTTGGTATTCTTGTCTTTGTGGTAAGTAAATTTTAATTATTTTCAAGCTTAAAACTTTTTATTTACAAAGAAATCAAACGCAAATAGATTTTTGAACCAGACTAATAATTTATTAATTTATTGTGACATCTGTTGAAATTAAATGGATGCAAGTTATTAATTTTAAAAATATTTAGGCATTCTTATTAATAATCCTTCCTAAAATAATGCATGTAAATATATTATTTCAAGGAAAAAAGCAACATTAAAAATATTATTAATGCAAATAAAACTCTTTTTGTAACAAGATCCATCATTACAGCAAGTACTGTTTTTTAAACCTTTACGAGAATCCAAGGCTGTTTTTTCTGGGAAAATTTCAGATGCCGGTTCTAGCAATACAGTTTTGAATTTGATTTTTCCTTTCATGCGATAAGTTCCTTGTTTCAGTTAAATTTTTTATCTTATGTTTTTGTATATATTTGTTATGCACATATATGGCAACGTTACTTTTAAAAAGTAACGAGTAAAAGTACAAGTATTTTTAAAAAAAGTAACGAGTAAAAAGTAAAAAGTTCTTATTTTAAAAAGTAACGAGTAAAAAGTACAAGTAAAAGTACAAGTACTAAACAAAAAAATTAACAATTCAAAAGTACATTTCTAGGTAATCGAAAATTCAAAGTAACCTAAAATTTTATTGAATAATATTCTTGTGTTCTTTAATGTATTTGCAAAATTGTTGCTATTTATTTAATTATTTTGAATTTTGAAAGTTATGGACATTAGTTTGTTTTTAAATTCATTATAATATAACTTTATAATATAATCGTATAATATAAATTTAAAATCAAATATAATTTTTATATCAAACTTTTTATGGATTTGAACGAAAAAGAAATTTTATCTATTGATTTTAATTTTTAGTTTATTATTTTTATTTATTTAAATTACCATTGATTTAAGATTATTTTACTCTATAGAAACGCGTTTTAAAAGCACAAACATAAACAAAGCAAACTCGGGGTTTCAGATAGCTTTGCGATCTTTAAGCTATTAAAAAATAAATGAATGCGCAGTATAAGTTGAAACAGAACAGTCTACAGTTTTATTTGTAACAATGGCTAATGCTGAAGTCATGCGAGAAAATTATTTTCCGAACATTTCTGCCTAACGGAATAATTAAAATTTTTAAACGAATTTTAGTATCAGCGGCTTTGAGTTTTCAAGAGTAAAAATAGTAATTATAATAGTTTTCAGTGTCACAAGTAGTTTTGAAGTTCTTAGAGATTTGACAGGGCGTTGTTTGACACGGTCGGGCATAAACATAATTTTAGTAAAAAATGTACTAGGCAAAAATGTATTTAGTAAAAACCGTATTATGACAAAACGTATTAGTGAGTTCAAAAAGAAAATTGAAAAACGTAATAACAAAATCCAACATTTTTTATTTAAAATGTATTAAACAAATGCATAAAGCTCGAAAATGAAGGAAAATAACTTGCTAATTAATATTTTTATTCATTTTGAAAAATAATTACATTTCGAAAGCCATTTTTTTTAATTTATTTATTATTATTTTTCTTAAGAAAGCTTACCGAGTTTTAAAAAAAAGTAACGATTTCATTCGACATTTCCGTTACAAATACTTGTACTTTTTCCCTAAAAAAAGTAGCGAAAGTACAAGTAAAAGTACTAAATTTTAAAAGTAACGAAGTACAAGTAAAAGTACGTACTTTTTACTTGTACCGACGGTGCAAGTAACAAAAGTAAAAGTACTGCCATATATGGTTATGCATAAAGTAAGTTAATAAACTTTTACGTTTAGGCATCTTGGATTTTATCATAAACTTAAAACTTTTTATAAATTTTATTACCAATTTTGCAATTTTAAGTTTTACTCCTTTTAAAATATTATAAACATTATCTGAATTTAATTTTTCATAGTTGCTTTACTTTATTGATTATCTCACCACCAGATTTTTATTGATCCGTCAATTATTAATGTAAACTAAATATTGAATTCTTACTGCTAGCTTATGATAATGAAAGATTCAGGATAACTAAAGCCACAATAATTTGTTTATTTATCTTTTTATTATGACTTAAAGTTTTATCAAAATTTGAAATATTTTAGCTTAGTCCAAATGCAAAACTAAATTTTCCCACAGTTTATTATCATCTAATGTAAATTTCCTTAAGTCTGCTGTTGTCTTAGAAAGTGATGTACGTAAAATTAAATAAAACTAAATATTATACTTGATAATGAATCTATATATACATATCATGATATCTTACATTTTAAAATTAAAATAATACTTATTTTAACAACTAAAGGGATAAACAATATTTAAATTTTGAAGAATATAAACACGTTATTTAAAATATTTCTAAATATCATTTTCGAAATTTGATTTTCGTTGAAATTTTTTCCTACAAGCTTTCAAAAAGTCATTTACGTTTCAAAGATTCATATCATTTACTTAGTGAATAAATACATGCGAATAGGAATCTTTAAGTGAAATTTTTTTTAAAATCTTTTTAGCAATTTTTTGTACCGAACAGTTTATTTTACGTAAATGAAATTTGAATAATTGTTAAAATAGAAGAAAGAAACAGTTCAACTTAAAATGATAAACTAAGACTCTCATCAGTAAAAATTAATTAATCATAATTAATCACAAATTTAGCAAAAGGCCTTTGGGTCATGAGCTTTAATTATTATAACTATGAGCTTTTGGTTATGAGCTTTAAATTTTTATAACTATCTCCTATTATATCTACCTTAGCTTATTAGCCATAAATTAGATAATTCCCTTATGATTACTTTTCGTGGTAACATTAAAATAATTCTTGTACGACAAGTCAGTCTTTTTATAATTTAGCGACATTCCCTTTAATTTTAGCATAATCCCCCCTTTTTAATTTGGGTGTGTGTTTAGTCCCAGGAGTGTGACGTGACTGTAGAAGATTTAGAATGAAATAATTCAAAAGAATCGATTGTAAAGAACCAGTAAGCTGAATACAATTTTAATTTTGACTAATAATAATTTTTTTTAAATCTAAGCTACTCATTTTACTCCAGGTTGCTTATAGTTAGTGAATTTTTAATAACTATTCGAAACAATAGTTATTAATAGCATTATAATATATTAGTTTAATTTCGAGCAGCAATTTTCTATTGAAACTAAAATGCAGTATATTACTTTCTCAATTTTATAATGAAATATATATTATAGTAATAAAAAAATCATTGTATTCTAGAAAATATTAAAATTCCAGAAACAATAAATATTCTAGAAAATAAAAATATTTTTCCAGTTTTTTTTCTCAGACAATAAGATTTTAATACATTGTGCGAGAAAAATAATATTTTATAAAAGTAAATGACACTGAATATGGAAATGCCAGAACATTTCCAGCTCTGCTTACCATTTTGAAAAATCCCATGGATCTTACAAAACGTTTTCCTTTCTTTTTTTTCCAAATGCTATGTGAGGGAACTATTTGTATTGGTATCTATTTATTAAAAATTGCTTTAAGCAAAAAAAAATTCCTTTATTAAAAAAATAAAATGGCTAATTTTTAAAACCTTTTTTTTTTCATTTAGAAAAGCTCATAATTTTCAAATGAATGAGATACGTTCTTGGACTACTAGTTTACTTAACAACCAGAATTTCAACATCATAAAAAGAAATGGCATTATCAAATTCAATATGTTGAATAAAACGGAAAAACAAAAATGTGAACAAATATCTTAATTTATTTACCAAAGAGGAAATTTAGTAATAACATATATATTGTGAATATATGGTATTATAAAACGACTGTATGGAATTAATTCAAACTCTTCAATTTTACTTGACAATTATTTATGGTGTTACTGTAAAAAAGACATTTATAATTATCGTAAATAACAAATTTGAGAAGAAAGATTTAAATAAAATATATATACTTAATTCTCAGATATTTGAAACCAGGAATTATTTCAAATTCAACAATTAATGTAAATTCTTTTATCTTTCATTAAAGCATTTCTAGTTATTTAAGTAAAGATATCATCCTATATAAAATTTTTCCAATGATTCTTTTTTTTATGAAAATTTCATAAAAACTAAATATAATTTCAATTGTTTTATTTACTAACGTTGCTGAACTTTTTAATTGAAATAATCATTAAAAAAAACTATTAATTTTATTTGTTAAAAAAAACACGAACTGAAAGATTTTTTATTTTTTATAAAGATACATAATATTCAAAGCAACGGAATAAACAGTCTTTAGTTTAAAAATGTTTAAAAGCAAAATTATAAATGTTATTTTATTGCATTGATAAGATGTGTATTATCCTTCGCTTCCAAATTCAACTTCTGTTTTGGAACCGAGTTCAAATATACTAATCTTAATTTTAAAATTTATTTTTATTTGGGTTTTCTATTTTATTTGCACGACATTGCTCATCTTACAGTTTGTAACTTTCAGAATCGTATTTAATGTTCTAAAGAAATGTCTTTCGACTATTTTTCTGACTGGTTCTGTAAGTATAGGTAACCTTTTTTTATTAAAAAAATTATATAATTGATATTAAACATGTTCGAGTACTAATAATTTTTAAATTATTTATGTTGTTTACTATTAATTACATTTACTTTTATTCTAGCACATTTTCCTCTTTGTATTTTTACACATTATATAATGTTTCATCCTTTAATGCACATTGAAACAGCCTAAAGTGCAGCATCAATGACGGGAGAAGTTGTTTAGATATTTTAACGAGTTACTCTTTGAAATATTGGTACATATAATTCTTTATTTTAAAAGGAGAAATATGCAATTAAAATAAAAATCTTAAGAGAAATATTGGAATTTTCAAACTCATGCTACATATGCTAAAAACTTAGTAGCAGAAACAATCAGTAGCATGTAGTAGAAACAAGTTTGTGAAAAATTTGTTTCGTATTTTAATTTGCTAAAAAAAGTACACATAAGAAATTATAAATTAAGCTTGGTAAAAAAAATAACATATATTTTAAAATGTGAACGAAATATTTTAATTGAAATGTTTTCATTGCATTCTTAAAAGTTATGAAAAAAATGTAAAGTTATGGAAGTTTAAAAATACGTATAATAGTAAAAAAAAATATTTATTCATGAACTTAGTGATTATAAAAAATAAACTTTTTATTTAACATGCATTTGTCAGAAACAATATACATATCTCCAGTTTTTATAAACTGATTTTATTATTTATTTATTTTAGATAGAATCATTAAATTTGATTTTCTGAACTAAAACTTAAAATTAAAAAGAATGATAGAACTGACAAGATTAGCTCATATTATATCTGCGGGCAATAAATATTTCTGTAAAACATTTTATTTAACTAAATATATTTTAACCTGAGAAAACAAACAAAACCAAACAAGCAAAAATTCAGAAAACTGTAGCGAATTTCATTTAATAAAGCTTCATTATTGCTTAAAAAAATAAATGATATTGTGTTTCAAACATGGAACGGGTAATGTTTCAAACATGGAACTATGTAATGTACTAATATTTTAGTAAAAAGGAACCCTGGGTGCATCACCCGTTTAATCTATTTGTATCGTAAAACTTTATACCGAAACGTTGTAAGTTTATAAAACAATAATAGAAGGACTTTAATAGTAAATATAATTAGAATAGTAAAACTTTATAATGTTTTATTATTAAATTGAATTAGTGGTTTTATAATAAGTATTACTGTAAAAATTATGGTCCATTCGATTGATTTTTCGCGAAACTTTTATGATAAAAATAAATTTTCTGGAAAAAAAAGTACCGGTCTCCTGAATACCAGTACTTTTCACCATAATTTTATCCTGATTTTTTTAAAGCGTGGTAAAATTAATATTTTAGTCATTTACGTTTTTGTCCCTATAATAAATGCGTTACGGGTTAAAATAAATTACAGTCTTTAATGAAAATAATAAGAAAATATTTCTTAACTTACCTACTGCTGGTACATAGATGTTTAAATATAAGCAATCTTCACTCTGGTTGGCCAAAAGTGGTAAAAGTCTCTGAAGATATCTCAATCGTCCTAAGGGCATTTTTCTTAATGCATCGGTCTCATTTTTAATGTCCGGAAATTTTTGTGGACACACAGATCCGAAACTGTCTGCCAACCTCACACCTTTCCAGTGTGGTGACGTTACAGGTGGCATAAACCTTAAGGCTCCAGTTGGTGCTCCAGCATATGGTACTCCTAAAAACACTTCGACTGGTTGTAGTTGCCGATTGGACAAAGTACTGATAAATCCTCGTAACATACCATACCTTGTATGCACCACTCTTGTACTCAAATGCCTGGAATCCAATTCCATTTGCTTAAAGCTCACAGTTTTGAGAATTATCAGCAACAAAAGAAGAAGTTCTTTAAATATATTTGGCAATACACCCATTGTAAGTTTTATGCCTATGTGTTTTAGTGATAGAATATGTTTGATTCTGATGATATACTATGTCATGCTTATGTAAATGCAAAATATGCATTGTTGTTTGCGTGGAAACAATTATGTACAGAATTTATTATACTTAGGGTATTTTCTTCAACTCTTGAATTAGAAATTTTATAAGTAGCTGAATAATCATCTGCATATCTATAATCATATGTATAGAATTTGGATTAATATAATTGTTTTATTTTCGGCTAATAAGGTTTACTATTATTTTATTTCGCAGTTTTTATTATAAATTTATGATTTAACTAAACAACTAATAGTTAATGTTTTTAAAAAATATTTTCCTATACTTTTAGTGGAAAAACTTCAAAATATTTCATGAGAAATAATTAATAAAATGGTCATTATTTAAATTTAGCTAAATTAAAACTTTATATATTTTAATAATTTTAATTTAAAGAAGTATATAGATATATAATATTTAAATTTTATTTGGAAAAAAAGTAATGATTTAGAAGAAAAAATAGCGTTAAAATTCTCAAGTTAAAGAAATGGTCATTATTTTTCAAAATATCATAAAATAGTTTCGATATATTTTAACGACCAAACGATAATATATCTAGTTGAAAATCGAAGGAAACCTCTTCGAAATAAGTTCTGAAACTTAATAAAAACATTGCCTTTTTCACAAAGTTTTAAGATCAGCATGCGATCGAATGTTTGGATGAGATTTTGCTCTTGCGCCTCTAATCTAAGCCTTTAGCTTCATCCAACTGACAATCGGAGAATATTCGGAATCGAAAGAGAGAAAAACGATAGCCGGCAGGTTCCACATGAAGCGCATGCGTTAGCTGGACTAGAGAATACTTTAGAAGACGCGTGAATTGGCTTGTTCAAGTTCTAGTTTAATAAACTCCGGCGTCGCTCCTTTAATTTTGAAACTCTCTTGAAATATGTATAGCACGCTAGCCATCTTAAGTAGAAATTCATTATGTTAATCTTTCGAAAACTCATTACCTTAGGAAACATCTTGTCGTATAGTGAGAGTCCATTTCAATATATTAGAGAACTTGAGGTTTGTAGTCGTAACGGAAAATTATGATACTCCACATTTTAAGCCAATTAAAATAGGGAAAATGATTTTGAAAGTGAAGGAAAATCTAGTTGAGAATAACGGAATGAAACTTTGCTGCTTAAATTTTCACCAGAAACTCAATATTTCACTTTTAATTAAAATGTAGTAAAAAATCCCCATTTTTCTATTTCTCCACGTTTTTGATTAAAAATTTTCCGAACACTTTTACAACAGTTCTCTAATATTGTATTCTGTAACTAAAATTAATTTTAGTATTGATGTTTTAGAAATAAAACTATTTATTTTAATTACTTCTTAAAAGTACAATGAAAAGTAAATTTAAAAACCATTAACGTTTGAATATATTATATGCCATGACGCAAACAAAGCTCCTATTAAACAAAAAGGTTTCTTTTTTTTTAACTAAATGGCTACCTTCTTCTGTTAGCTTCTACTTGATTTTTGAAAAGAATGAAAGATGTTTGATTGCTGTGAAAACAGTGCTGTTTAATATAAGAATTTTCGTAATTGGCGTGGCGTATGTGTTACTCTAGGTTAACACGGTTTTTAATAAATATTTTTTAAGATTAAGACGAATCAAGCTCTTTTTTAAATGCATCAACTTGCCGCTTCATAATTTAAATTTAAACATTTAAAATACTTAGAATACACTATTAAAAATTTATTTAGCAATACAGCGAGAAAACCTAGAATATTTGTTAAGTTCCTCTTGTTATAGTTCAAACTCATATAACTGAGTGTTCCGCTAACACGAGGAGGGTCTTACCCAGCTTCGACTAAGATTTGATTTCTCGTGCTAGAAGCTGTTTGTCTGATTTGCACTTTCTTCGCTTATGTTTTAGTTTGTTAGATTCCACTCTAATACAATGTGATTAAAGGGTTCATATCTAAATAGTCGTACTTTATTTCGTCACACTAGAACTGCCCAATGAACTTTTGTCGATGATTTTAAATCCAACCCTCAGAATGATCCGAAGACATACTATCACAAATTTGATCTTCTGCAGAAGGGAAGACTCCCTGATTTGGTAGCTCGACACCCTTCGCGTGAAGTCGAACACTTTAAGGTAGAACAGTTAAATGAGGACAGAGCGTTCACCTTCCAATGTGGTGAACCGGGCTCAAATTCCAGCTATGGCTGGTCGATACGAATTCTGCACCCGGCTCATACCAACCACAGTGCTAACGTAAAATATCCTCAGTGGTAGACGGATCATGGGTTAGAGTCCCCTTGACGTCAGATTAACAGTAGGAGATTTTTGTGATTTTCCTCTCCGTGTAACGCAATTGCGTTATAGTTCCATCAAAAAGTCCTCCGCGAAGGCAAACTTGTCCAATACTTGGTCGAAGAGTTCCCTTATCTTCTGGATTTTGTTCAAAATTACAAGACTACGGAGTAGAACATTGGTAGTGGTAAGCCCAAAAAATGTTCAACGACAATTTTAAAATAAATCTGTTGTATATTATATTAAATAAATCTATCTAACTCTTTGTCTATTAATAGTTAAAATGAACAGTTTGATGCATAAATGTCAACTCTACAAAAAGCATACTGCTTGGTGCATAAATTTCGACTTCTTGACCCTAAGTTGTAAAGCTTGAAATGATTTAAACATGTTATTATTTGGAATTTAAATAACTAAATTATGTACTACATAAAATGCTAAAAAATAAAAAAACATTTAAGAAACATACTATATTAAGCAATAAATGATTATAACAACAAGCAACCAATATATTACAATAAATATACAGTTAAAAAAAAATTGTTATGANGGTATGCAAAAAAGGTATTAGAATTACTTTTTTTACATAAATTTTATTTATTGAAAATTTTTAAGTAAAAGTACAAAATGTGTGTATTGATTTTGAAATTAATCACATTTATTTTACTTCTCTAGATAAATCTTTAAAATTTAGTGAATAATTGGTGACAGCATTTGTCAGTAATTCCTTGAGATGTTGGTTAGTTAATACAGATCGGATTCACGAATTTTAAAGTCGAATAAAATAATTCTCATAAGTGCGCTGTTCCGAATACTGAAATGAATCGACAAGCAGCCTTTCTCAATTCAGGATGCTTCGATTCTGGTGCAAATTTCCAAAATTCAATAAGCGACTTCGACTTATATTTTAATTGTAGAGCTTTTTCTTCTTGCATCTCTATTTATTCGAATTTTCCAGATGCTTTTTGTGTCATAATTATATTGGAAATGGAAAACTCACCTTGAATTGAACAACGTTGCACTTAGTATCTCACATTTGTTCTCAGTAATTTAAAAGACATTTTGAAATACATACGGAACGATAGTAATTTTTTTAAATATAATAGCACAAAAATGAAAAGGGAACTCGGGTACATTTATCGAGAGCCACAAATAATCCTTCAAAGAGCCGCAGGTTGGCTATCCCACCCCTGTTATATGCCATGACGCAAACAAAGCTCCTATTAAACAAAAAAGGTTTCTTTTTTGTTTAACTAAAGGGCTACTTTCTTCTGTTAACTACTACTTAATTTTTGAAAAGAAAGATATTTGATTACAGTGAAAACAGTCCTGTTTCACATAAGAATTTTCGTAATTGGCGTGGCGTATGTGTTATGCTAGGTTAACACGGTTTTTAATAAATATTTTTTAAGATTAAGACGAATCAAGCTTTTTTTTAAATGCATCAACTTGCCGCTTCATAATTTAAATTTAAGCATTTAAAATACTTAGAATACACTATTAAAGACTTATCTAACAATACAGCGAGAAAACCTAGAATCTTTGTTAAGTTCCTCATGTTATAGTTCAAACTCATATAACTGAGTTTCCCGCTAACACGAAGAGGGTCTTACCCAGATTCGACTGAGATTTGATTCCTCGTGCTAAAAGCTGTTTGTCTGATTTGCACTTTCTTCGTTTATGTTTTAGTTTGTTAGATTCCACTCTAATACAATGTTATTAAAGGGTCCATATCTAAATAGTCGTAGTTTATTTACGTCACACAAGAACTGCCCAATGAACTTTTGTCGATGATTTTAAATCCATCCCTCAGAATGATCCGAAGACATCCTATCACAATTTTGATCTTCTGCAGATGGGAAGACTCCCTGATTTGGTAGCTCGACACCCTTCGCGTGAAGTCGAACACTTTAAGGTAGAACAGTTAAATGAGGACAGATGCCGCTCACCCTCGATTGTTTCGCAGGCTTGGTTACTACCCGCTCACTAGTCGTGGCCTGTGATGCTTGACTTCGGTTGACTTGTGATGATCTACAGGGAACCGTATCTAATGATCAGTTTCTACTGAGGGACCTTTAATTTCAAAAAACCCGGAAAGCAATTTACAGTCTTAACTTGTTAATTTGTTATTACTTCACACAAAACATCTGATAAATTATTCCCAATAGATAATTAAGTAAAAAACTGCAGTGTAATGCATTCATTCTCAATGTTTTTATGTTTTTCATTAAAAGAATATTTTTAGTGGAAAATACAACTTCGGTAAAAAAACCTACAGTAAGATGTTTCAAGATGAAGTAGCATAGGATGCTTCAAAGTATGTTTTTGTTACCTAGTGAAAATCGTGGAAATCTTTTGGCTCAGGGGATAGAGCGTTCACCTTCCAATGTGGTGAACCGGGCTCAACCGGGCTCAACCAATGTGGTGAACCGGGTCGATACGAATTCTGCACCCGGCTCATACCACCCACAGTGCTAACGTAAAATATCCTCAGTGGTAGACGGATCATGGGTTAGAGTCCCCTTGTCGTCAGATTAACAGTAGGAGATTTTTGTGATTTTCCTCTCCGTGTAACGCAATTGCGTTATTGTTCCAACAAAAAGT